AGGGCATTCACGAAGGAACAAGATAGTTCTAGAAACGTGGCGTGACACTAGTCACGTGACCTCGCTGACGCAACAATATATAATTAAGACAAACCAATCGTATATACAAATGTTTGTTATACTGTTGGTTATTACAGAAGTATACAGACAGCTTTAAATAATCGTTTCTTTTTCTTCAAAGTCCACCCAAGTTGGTTATGTTGATGTCATCTCTTTTTACGTCATATGTGTGAGGTTATTGTGTTTGGAGATGATAATTTTGAATTGTTTAATGACAACTGGGCTGCCGAAGATGAGAAAAATGCTATTGCTTATCTAAAAATACTGGAATCCTTTGAATTATTTTTTTTGTTTAACAGCTTTACAACGCCCCCTTTACTATTTAAAAGAAGCAGTTGTTTAAGCTGTATTTCATACAAAATTGCTTCCAGATTTAATCTCATAGCACCTATTTTTTTTTAATTTTCTGGGGGTTGTTTTTTTTATTTTACAAATTAGAAATTACCTTTTCAAACATTCTGCATACGGGCCTGATAAGTTATAGGAATGATGACCAATTTTCTAATTTCACTCATTAAGACCATAGACATGTTTTACGCTTACATTTCAGTATAATTTTCTGAATGTTACTGTTTCATTTCATTACGACCACAAAATATAAAAGTAAACAAGAGTTGTTGTTTCTACAACATATATCATTGTGGGTCACATACGATATCGTGAGTTTTAAGTACCAGTTTTAACGTTTCATACCATATCTACTCTGTCTTTATTCATGTACACCATCCAGAAATGAAAATATTTTCACTAAACTTTCCCTGCGTGCAAGTGTTGGAATTGAGCAATTATTATGGTGTTTTGCACCTTTTACAAGCCGGCGAAGAATGATTACAATTATATTTGTCATAAGACATTAGTATTAAATGACATATAAATATTTATATAGTGTTCCGATCACTACTATGTTTATTGTATTCCAGGCAGTTTGAAGAGCCCTGAATTGAGGGAAACGCATCGTCAGCAATAGATATGACAAATATAGTGTGGTTGGAATACTATTATTATACACTCTTCTAATTGTTGAAAATTCCTAAGAGACTAGAATAACAATGTAGTGTTTAAAAATAAGCCAAATACTAATGTATTATGACAAGTATAATTGTAATCATTTTTGCTGACTTGTAAAAGGCGTACTCACCACAACTAACAAAAAGTTTATATTTCAGTGTGCCAGAAAACGTCGTTTTTGTTTGTTACTCTTAGCTTCTTTTTTCCTTGTAGGATAGCTATTACAAATGTCGCTTATTCGTTTGTCATAAAGAAGAAATATTAATAAACAAGATTACGACACTTATGATATACAACATTGTTTATTAACAAAAAGGGGACATAGATAAACGTTACGGAATTCTACCAGACTCCATTTTCATTATCTAAAGCAAAATAAAATGAATTTACATAAGTCTTTGGACATTGCTAAAGTACAAATGCTAAATTTAACGATAATTAAACAAATAAAACACAAACTAGTAATCACGAGGAAAAACTACAGCAAGAAAACACAACAAAAAAGGTAAAATCAGTAATATGAACATATTAAAAATGTATAATTTAAACGAAGACTGCACGTTGTTCAGTGTTGGAGAATGCTGTTTGGTGTGGAGGGTTTCTTTAATCAATAATTCCAGATCAGTATTAGACTTGCTGAGGATAGAAAAATTGGATAGCATAGGTCGAGCCCCCCCCTAGTGGCACAGCGGTATGTCTGCGGACTTACAACGCTAGAATACGGGTTTCGATACCCATGGTGGGCAGAGCACAGATAGCCCATTGTGTTGTTTTGTGCTTAACTTCAAACAAACAAACAAAAGCATAGGTCGATGTCCTGTTTCTTCACAATGTTGGCGTATAGAGGAAACATAGGGACATAGGGGTTACTCAATTTTTTTTGCGTTTTGATGGAAATTCCCATATGTTCATAGGCTTTTGACTTTTAAATGGTGTTTGGTTTTGTCAATCTAGGAGAAATGGTATTCTCACTGTTCTATAATATAAAGTATAAATCCACAATAACGGAACAATATCAAATTTATATGAACACTTGTATCCATATAAATTTGATATTGTTCCATTACTGTGGATTTAAATTTTATTTTAAAATACTTTAAACAGTATTGTGCATTTACCTACTTTAGAATGGGGTTCTGTTTTCAATTTACGACCAAACTTTCAGTATTTTATTTTGTGTAGATTTTTGACATCTTTTGCGCATGTCCATTCGTGAATTTCTGCTTTTTCTGGTATAGGGCTGAACTAAAAAATGATGGTTTTCAAACGTTATTTCAAAATGTAAGTATTTGAGAGACTTAGACCTCTGTCTCTTTGTATATATATATATATATATATATATATATGTATATATCTGCAACTCGATGTGGGAGAGTTGCGTTTCAAATTGTGTAATATTATATTTTGTGATTAAAAAGTGTTTTCAGGCGTCATGTTTCATCGCGAAATAGTACTACCTAGCCAACGTGGATACGTAAATTGATATATTTGTGTTACTGTAAGGGTTTTGTTTTGTCTTTTTGGTGAATTTTAGTTTTTCTTAAAATTAAATTCTTGAAATATTCATGGAATTTGTCTTTGTAAATTGTAAATATAAGGGACCATGACATAAAACTAAATCATACTGTAGTTTTACATGCCAAGTGAAGGGCCGATAATTAAATTATATCACTATCGGCTCTATAAAAAGTATAATAATATAAATACTAGTAGTAGTACACTAGTAGTACTTACTTAAGTTACTACTAGTACTCAGTAGTAGTACAAGTAGATCTAATCGGGTTATACTTAGGCTATAGTGATAGAACATACACGTATTGATGTATTAATTTTGTAACTTACTCAGAGTATAGCCTAAGTCATTTGTAACTCATTGTACTTTGAATACATTAGCCTAAAAATCTTTTTTTTTGTCAGCGTCATATTTACTTTGTATGTTGAAACCAGCATAAAAATCATTCCCGTGTCTCACAATTGCAGTTACTGATTATTAACAGTGGATTAGTGAATTACTCCAATATCCACCATTTATACCAAACATGAAGGCCAAAATAGAAAACGTTAAAAATTATCAGGTTATAATGAACTTTACACTAGTATAAATACTTGTGTGTAAAAATCATATATTCTCTTTCTTTCAAATGTGATATAGCTCAAAATTTCCCAATAAAATTTTGAGTAGTCTATTTTAAATGAGTACTTGATAAAACTAATTTTTATTTTTCAATAAAGATTTATTAATAATTTGTAATTTGAAATGCTGTTCTTGTTCATGGTTGCATACTGGGTATTTCTAACCACTGTAATTTAATGGCAGCATAATTTAAAGAGGGAAAGAATATTATTCTAAATTGCACTTCTGAAGAAATCTTCATAGAAACAGAAAAAAAAAAATGTTTAAAACTAGTTTCTTAAGGTGAAATTAGAAATAAAAGGTTTACAAATTAAATTATTTGTTTGGTTTTGAACTATACTTTTAACTGCATGTGAGGTGAATGATCTAGTTAGGAGTAAACTAACTTGCAAAGTAAAATGTATTCAAAACCACATAGATAATGTGTTGATTGCAGCATGATAGGACTGAGGAATTTTTATAGACTGGATTCCTGATTTCTTAATGTTGAGAAAATGGTGAAGTGTAATGGATGCAACAAAAATGAGAAAAAGGTTCAACTAACTAATGGACTCTGTTTATCTTGTCATCAAGACAACAGCAAGAATGGAAGAGCACCAGCTATGGCTGGGCCTAGACCTACATCTAACGTTGAAGATTTTTGTGATGAGATTGAGAATTGTGGAAAGTGATATAACCATTGTTGAAGTAAAAGATATGGCACTGAATAGTGTAGCATGTGATTAATGGTTTCATTGTAAATGTAGTAAGGAGGAATTTAAAGCTATTGACATTGTTAAAGATAAGATGATTTTGGGAAACTTATGATGGTAAAGTCCTGTCAGCTTTTAAAAAAAATTTAAAGATCTAGAAGAAAGATTAGATGATATTGAAGAAAAGGTTGAGAATAAAGTTGATAAGTATTTAAAGAAACACTGAGAGAGAGAGAAAAGGAAAGCCAATATTGATGAAACAAGTAATCAAACTAGAGTGAGTCATGACTTAAGTCAAATATATGGCTTACATGAAGGTATATCTCCAGACTTGGAAATAAAAACTGATCAAATTGAGAAAATACTCAGAATATGTAAGAAAAAGGACGATTTCCATTTTAGACCCTGACCCATCTGCGTAAAACTTTTGGAACCAAAGATGAAATACCCAATTTTTAATGCTGCTAAACTTATCAAAAATGTTACTGCTGAAAATGAATGTAAGAATGAAGTGTTTATTGTTCTTGATCTTACTATGAAACATCAAAGAAAGTCTATAATGAATTGAAAGACAGAAAAAGCAAAGGCAAGACAAATATAGGGATTAGAAACAATAAGGTGGTCAAAATTAAGACTGGTATAAGTTCACAAAAGCTTTTGGATATAAAAAAGTCCAAATTCTATATCACTAGCTTGTAGTAGTTCAGTTAAAAAAAGTAACATAAGATGCTGGTACACCAATGCTGAAAGTCAATTAAATAAGATGAATGAATTAGAGATACGAATAACAAATGAAAAAACAGATATTATTGCAAATAATGAAACCTGGCTGACTGATGATGTAGACGATAGTCAACTGAACATAAATGGATATACAATGATGAAGAAAGATGGCACTGAATTAACTGGAGAATAAGTTATATATATATATATATATAAAACATAATATTTAGTTTGAGCTAAATGATAACTTGAATAACCCCTTGTTTGATAAGTCCCTGTGACTGACTTTAGTTTTAGATGGTAATAGAGTTTGGTTTACAGGCATGGTTCGTGTTGGAGCTGATAATGATAACTTACTGTTTGAGCAGATAAACAAAGTGGATCTTTAAATTGTGAACAGGTATTGATTGTTGGAGACTTTAATAAACCAAATGTAGACTGGGACAATATGCAGGGTGTGGGTCATGCAAATTCCCTCTCTAACAGATTTGCTGAGTCTTTGGAGGATGGATATGTGCATCAGCATATATGTGAATTTACACATGTGACCCCCCCCTGAGGTTGCACCTCCCTTTTCTTGGATTGCACCCCACTCCTTAATAACATAAATTAATAAATGTACATGCATTGTTATCACCTGTTAAATACAGCGATCTCTGACTTAAGAAGTAAACTTTGTAATAAATATGACAAGTTAGATTACTGTACTTTATAAAATTCATTTGTAGGGATGTGCAGTGATAGCAATATCAAGGCAAAAATACACCTATTAAAATCTTTCACTGAAAGTGTTTATGTCTGGATGCATTAGGTTAGTATACATGGCCACATGGCAAAAAAAAAACACTGTCGATAGTCATGACAGTGTCATGGCTGTTTAGAATGACAGATTCTAAATAATAAATGTAGTTAGGCCTAGACGAAATTGATTGATATATTGATACATAATATCATCATGTCTACTAAGTCACCTTACAAAAGCTTACATTTTTAGCACTTTTCTTGCCGATTTTTGCATGGATGTCTTTAAAACTTTGTATAGATATTCTTGTTAATGAAATACTAACAATTATATAATATGAGGTGAGGTCAAGGTCACAAAAAATTGATTTTCAATTTTGAATTATTCCAACTATCCAAGTATTGAAGTAATCAAAATATTGTCACTATGATTTTTCATTATTTGTTTGATTAATTCAAGTTTGTTAGCTTTGGGACAGGATACCCTGGTGTTTATTGGTATTGTCTCATAATTCAAAGGTCTCTGGTTTAATTTCCGTTATCTCAAAACATGCTCACTCTCTTAGCCACAAGAGCATTATACTTGTTTCTTTGTTTTTAAGCTATGGCAAAAGTACTGGAACAATCTGCCACCATCCCTAATTATGAACTGCTGATTTGGGAGAAAGCAATTTGCCAGCAGCACTCACCACCAACTCACAGGTTACTATAGTGTTAAAGTGTTAATTTTGTCTTTTTTTATGTACTGTTGTTATTAATTTATAATTGTAACTCCATTCTTTAATGTTGATTATGGTGTAAAATTACTATTTTTGCATTGTGTTACATTGTAATTTATAATTTGTATGACTATCTTTTGGTATTAAATAAACTATAAATTGTTTTTTGTTTTTTTTACACTGTATATGTTATACTTGTAACTCATCTCTAATTATCCTTAACTTGTATTCTGGTGGAAATTGTGGTAGGCACTGGCATATCCTTTAATTGCAGTTAGTTGACTATTTTTGAGATCATGACACTATTTGATTAAACTAATAAAAACTTGAATTAATCAAAACAACAATGAAAAATCATAATGGCAATGTTTTGATTATTTAGATAGTGGGAATAATCAAAAGGGTTAATAATCTGGAACAGTAATTTTGATGAAATGATTATTTTACATGACACTAATCAATATAATTGATGCTTATACGTTACTTATTAACCAAATGAGCAAGGGGTTAATTCCATATTGGAGAAATAATATTGATTATAGTTCCAAATTTATCATGTGTATTTATATGAAACATGGCAAACTTTTAGTAAAATGTACATGTATGTTGTACGCAAAGAATAGTATGTTTTAAAAAAGCATTTGTACTCAAGGTATATCTGTGAATTGACAACATCAGTCTGATTCAGACTGATAAGTTGGAGCACAAGTGATGTTCATATGAGGAATAAAAATACTTTTGTCCATTGTACAATTTGCATATTGCATTTGTATGACCACTGTAACCCATGGAATGTATATCTAAAGTTTTTCACAATCCTTGTGTATCTGATATCTATTACAACCTGTTGGAAGATCAGCAATATAGGGTGAACTGAATAGTTGATAACTCTGATATCAAGTACAAAATATCATGTTGAATGGTACTCTGTAAAAGGGTGTGTCATGTGCAGTTTGACAACCTGTGCACATAAGGTTAATATCAAGTTAATCACCCAGCTCCATCTCATAGTATTGTAAGAACATATTTTTCTTTTCATTGTATAAAATAGTAATTTTTATTTTCTAATTTCTTAGATTTTAAATTTTCTCTGAAAGTAAAGGTTTACAAAGAGCCCTCTTAAATATTGGTAAATAATTTGATACAAGTGAATTTTCAAGGATAAAGGCTTATGTTTCCATTACTACCTATATGTGTGCTTAATTTTAGGATGACACAAAAGTGCATTCTTTGAATAAGCTGAAAACCCTGAAATTTTTTTTGTGTTTTTAGTTGTTAAGAAGAAATATCAAAGGTTTTATGTGTTTTTTTTAAAGGTGGGGGGAAATATTTCATAAATTTTGGTTTTGATATGTATAAGAAACATCTTGAGCAAAGTTCCTTCTAAATTGCATGGATGTCTGGCTACACAGCAAACTTCCTTGTGTCCAAGATGTCACAACCATACCACTCACAACTTCCTATCTTGTTGTAGATCTTGTTTTTCTTTGTCAGTTCCAACAGTTTAGTGTCTGAATACATATATAATATCTGCAGTGCACTCAATCAAATATTAATTGGTTTTATTTGTTATTTTTTGCAAACATCTTTACTGTAGAATACATTGTTTGTTAGGAGAATCTAAAATATATTATTTTTCTCATTTTTTTGAATCCAGAAAAAAAAAGCCTCTACTTTATTAGCATGATCTTGAGTTGGGTAAATACTGTAGTTTATACTGCAATGGTAAAATAGTGTTTTTGTTACTAACTGTAAAATATGTAGATATTTTTATGTAGTGTTACAACATTTTTACCAACATCTGGTCATTTTTGCAGCTTTAGAATGCTATACAAGAAAGACAGATATATATATCTTTTTTTTATATTTATATAACTTAAGAAATATAGAAATGATTTAGCTTAGTGTGAGAAGGCCCCTAAAGTGTAAGCTTGCCCAAAGACAAAAGCAGTAATGCTTAGTAGAGTTTCTAACCTGTTCAGTACAAAGAAAATTTAGAGCAAACTTTGATCTTAGAGTAAAACTCCTGTCTATGGTAAGATTTATGATGAAATCTTGAAGAAACATAGTAAAAAAAGTATTTTGGGTTGTGGTTTAATTGTTATTTGTAAAGAATTGTTTCATTTGGTGAAATTAAAATTCCTAATATTTGGAAATTACTAATGTAAGCCCTAATTTTCAAATGGAGAGTGTAGGGTAGACCTACAAAATCAAAGGTTGTTGAATTTACTTCATTATTGGATTCTTTTGTTAAATATAATTCATAAAACCACTTAGAAAGTTGAAATTTAATAAATAAATGCTGAATGTGGATTTAAAAACAAGTTCTCTAGCCTTGCCAATTTGTTTAAGTTTTTGAAATTAATTTCTTTTTGGTTAAGACTATAGTTATGTTTGATATTTTGTTTTCAGATCAGAAGGTCTTTAATAAGGTGCCACAAAAAAAGGTAATAATTAATTATTAAATATTAGATAAAAAATAGGTTTGTGTAAGAAAATGCCTTTTAATCCATTTGAGGACTTTTATTGCTTGTTATTTGTTAGTGATCTTGATTCTTGGACAGTAATATTTATCAGTTCATTATTAGTAATAAGACATTAGGAAGAACTTGTCTTGGGAATGAAAATTTGGAAGAGATTTACTTTTTTGAATGAGAGGAGCATTGGTGCTGTGTAACACAAGAATGATTTACCTTTAAGTTGTAAAGTCTTAGCTGTCACAAACAACCACACTGGATTTACACCTGACACATCATCAGGAGATTATAAACTGCATTTTTATTTGAGATAAATATTTATGGAGTTTTGTTATGTTAGGGGAGGGTTTTTAGGCATTGCACCTGTCACCTAAAAATTACACTGATATCTGCCACTTGGCATCCTTCTGGACAGTAATACTGACACTCATTGGATGCAGTAGTGGTCTTTAGCCATATGTGGCAAAATAAAATATTAAATATATTTATGGCAGGTTGTGGGACCCTTGCACAGTCTGTCATGAAATGTGCTTCTGGGAATGGTTTTGGTGTTCGTGTAACTAATAAGTTCTGTGGTGATGGACTGTAGGCTAAACAAATTCCTTTGGGACTCATTTGTTCTTACATTGGAATCCATAAAAACAGCAATGGAGAACATTAATTCAAGCTGAAGATAAGAACATGGAACAAAAAGACTATATAGAATAGAAGTTTAAGTTAAAGGTGGATTGGAAAATAAAAATGATTTAGAAAAATTATTTTTTATACTGATCCTCCAGTGAGGTTGGGATAGAGGGTTTCTTGTAAAAAACTGAACTGGGTGCTGGAGATTATTTTGCGTGATGCTGCATAGCATATAATATGTACTGATACTATTCCTGCAGTTCACAAATTAAACAAATAACATTGTGCAAAAGTTTTCATTTACAATCAAACATTTATTAAAGTCTTAATAAAGTACATACTTATGTGACAACAAAATTACATTAACTGAAACTAATTCCTGGTATCCCAATCCTCATCTGGTTGAGCAATGTTTGCTTGGAGATGAAATAATTGAAGTGTGATTTCCTATAGAGCTGGGTGATTACTAGTATTTGCTAATCAATCAATTGATTGGCTCATTAATTGATTACATTAAATTAATTGATTAGTACAGGCCTCCTATAGCCCTCCCCCTTTCAACCACTGCATTATTCTAACATGGTATTAATCTTTCTATTTTCATTAACATCTTTTTTCTTTTAAAGTAATTATACTTGGTTTCATATGATAAACTTCTTCTGAAAGTTTCATGTTACAAAAAACATATTTTTTGTCTAAAAATATTTGAACACAAATGTTTTTTTTAAATATTATTTGGTGAATGAATTGTTAATATTGGTTGATTAAGGTTGCCATTATATTTGTTTTTAAAATGTACAGTAATCCAACCCTGATCATGTGTAAAGCAAATAAATGGATAATTAAATTAAGAAACTGTTTTACTATCACTGATAAGGGTAATAATGTTTTTATTTAAAATGTATCACAATTACAGTTATAAATAATTAAATAGCTAGTTAGCCAATTTGTGTACATTGTTTAAACGGGACAATCATACAAATAATATTCAGTAAAGATTTGAGTTCTCAGAATATTTTGCAGTCAGATACCGTACTCACTAAATAACAAACTTAACTAAACTTATCTGATTTGATGATGATTTTATTTTATTTTGTGAATCTATATATAAAACTCAAAATCTCTGTTAGTTTACTTGCTTGCTTGTTTACCCACCATGTTCATTGCGCAAGTCACGCTTTCTTCTCGCGAAGGCGCACAAAATGATAAGTTGTTGTTGATATATGTGTCTATTGTCTGTTAGCTGAATTGGTAAATATTCTCGTTAACATATATATTACACGAATAAATTCTATGCAGACTTGACAATTTTTGGTAAATTTGAGTTAACATTTAATTTAGAATATAGCATTATTGGCCTATTTAGTTATAGATCATTAACTATACATCATATATTTAACCATACACACAAAAGAAATTATACAGAATTAGAGTGTTGTGTGAAAAAGCAAAAATTAGGCCTAGCCTATAAAACAAATGATGCCATTTTACATAAAATAGACTATGTGAAAAGAGTAAGGCTTAAGTTATAATACTTACTGTGTACAATGACATTAAAGTCAAGTTAGTGTAACTGATATAGTACTTGCATGAGGTGGAAGATGGGTTGAACCTGGAAATTGTATTTTTTTTATTAGCATTAGAATAGATAGGCCTATTTAGTTACAGATTATTAATTATGCATCTACTAATACATCATATTTTACCTCGCACACAAAAGAAATGTATGCACAATTAAAATGTTGTTTGTGAAAAAGCAAACTGCAGACCTAGCCTATAAAATAAAATTATTACTGAGAATAACAGGGGAACATGTTTCCATCCCATGTATCCCATTAATTCCAACAGATCTCTCCGATTTAAAATGCCTGAGGTTCTCAGTCAAATTAAGCTTTTTATGTCAATCAACAGAGCACAGGGCCAGTCTCAGAAAGTAGTGGGACTTAAATTGATGTCACTATTTTTCTCACATGGACAACTTTACATTGGATTCTCAAGAGTGGGGAACAATAAGGGCCTATTTATCCTTGCCAGTGAAGGAAAAATAAAAAACATCATTCATAATGAAGCTCTGATTTAAAACATGTTTGTAGTTTATTTTGAAAAATCAAACCTAAGGTTGTTCTTTTTGTTTTCATAAATTCACAAAATATTTTTTACCTATCGAAATATGGAGCAGAGAACAAAGAGAGTACATTTTTTTGGACAATCCAGGCAATGCTGGGTGATGATGCCAGTATAATATAAAAACATCAGGTATGCACATTGCAACTCAATAAAATCATAGTATATCTATTAAAAAGTAAGAACTTCAATTTTAAACAAAGAACCAAACATCAACAAAATACTTGTCTAAAGTCTTAAGCAATCTCCAGTCATGTGATCTTTATTGTTTCATACTGTATAAATATTCTTGTGTCTGGTGTTAAAATCTTCTCCAGACATCATACATTTGTTACTGTGCTAAATTTATGATAATGTTTTCTTTTTTACATATTCAGCTCATCTATAAACTTAAGTTGCTTAATGTCTTAATAAAGAATTTTTTGTAGCTTTCAAACAGATATAATTTAACATAAAAGTATTTTCACAGTTCTCAAACAAAGTATACAATTACTCATATGCTTTGTAGCCAACCAAGGGAAATGAATAACTGTAACTTATTTTATTTGTTTGAGAAGTGAATATTTAGACTAAATAAAAATTTAGTATGTTTTGATATTCTTCCAGTAGTCTAAATTTAAAGTCAAACAACATAAAAATTTGAACAACATCAATTTATTCAATAAAATAAAACTTTTGTTAGTTATAACTTTACCTTACAAAGTTTGAAATCCATTAGGTAACAAGTAACAGCATTTATTGGGTTTTAAGTCTGAATTGCCAATAAAGTAACCTAAAGTAGTTGTTTTAGGTTACTTTATTGATGATTCAAAGGGACTTGAAACCTCGTACATGTTATATAAACATCACCATTATAAGAGACTGAACTGTATTTCTTTTATTTGCTGACTCAAGCTGTGCTGATTAGCCTTGAATAGGCAAAACTGCAGTCCACAACAGAGGGTATGGCCAATAAAGGAAAGCATTAGGCCTCTACTTTACAGATTCTCTTTTAAATTTTATCTTTGGTGGGAAAGAAAGGAGATCTGTAATACACACACACACACACACACACACATATATATATATATACATATAAATATCATCAAGTAACAACATTGTTTAACTTCTCCACACTAGGTGCAAAAATGTTTCATTTTTGAAATGATGATATACCAGTTAAACTAATGTGCACTGGCATATTGGAGAAGGAAGGTTGACTACAATTCCAAATTTACCATATGTATCTGCACAAAATATGGGAGTTTTAGTAATATGTACAAGTATGGTGTACACAAAAAAATCAGATGTGTTAAGAAAGAATTTGTATCAAAGATGTGTTTGTGAAATGCCAAAGTCATTCTGACTCAGACAAGATAGAATACAAGGTGATGTTCATGTGAAGAGCCCCCAGTGGCACATCGATATGTCTGTGGACTTATAATGCTAGAAACAGGGTATTGATATCCGTGGTGGGCATAGCACACATAGCCTATTGTGTAGCTTTGTGTTTAATTACAAGTAAAAACAAATAAATAAATCATATGTAGAATAAAAATACATTTGTCTCTTACGTAGTCTGATATTGCATTTGTATAACTCAATGTCATGAGTTATATACATGAGTATATATTAAAGTAAATTAAATGGATGTGTTGGGCTAAGGATTTTTTTACAGTAGGTGTCTGTAACTTTTTGACAATAAATTCAAAAATAAACAAACAACACATGTTCCACTTGTTTTAAAAATAATTTATATATGAATTGGAACTAGTTAAAAGTATGTACAACAAATTATTTACACTATAAAAATCATGGGCATATCATAAACACTATATATAGTTCTCTTCTTCTTGTCAAAAGTCCACTTAGGCCTATTCAATTACTTTGGAATTTCAGTTGACAAGCTGAACTACTTTTCTCTATTTTTATCTTAAACACTGTCTGCGGATAATTCACTTATTCCTTTTTTTCTCTCTCTTTTCTTCTTTTATCACCACAGTATCGGCGTATAATTCACTTATGCTGTTGTTAAGTTACCACATTTGTATCCTGAACTTCTAATACTTATCTGCTTTATTGTATTTAGGTCTACTTCCTCTAAACATCTGCTTTTTGCATATAGAACTACTTGAAAATAATTGTCTGCTTTTTGTCACACAGGCAAGTTCAGTTGCTTTAGAACACCCTTTGATGAGACAAATTCTCCTAAACTGTCAGAAAACTGTTAATCTCATTTTAACCTATCAACCGTTAGGCTATTCACTCCTACAACGATTAACTTTACGTTTTTTAACCTTTCTCTGACCGAAACTTTACTTCCTGTGACTTTACTTTCTCTTCTGCTCTCTCTGTTTGCTGTTCCCGTTCATCTCACACTGGTTATATATTTATCACTTAATCGTCTGCTCACCTTCTTTTCCACATCAATAAATTTCGCACAACGTTGGATACCCTCAACATCAATTAATTATCAACACAGCGTATGATTCTTGTCGAGTTCGTAACTACACTTGTCATAACATTTACTTTAAAATAATTGCTTTTAATTCCCTTGTGAAAAACTAAACAATCATGAGATATTCACTCACAAAATAATTAAATTAACAATACCTACACTAAACAGTCTTTTATATCATGACACACTAGAATCTCCAAAATGCATATCTACTGATCTATCTTCATTTATTTTGGAAACCAGAAATATGAAAAACATCTTTTTCATGAGAATTTTAACTTATAAACAATTAAAAATTTATTGTGTAATAAGTATGTTATAAAAACTGCAGCTATTTGAATAAATACTAATTTTGATGAAAACAAGTTTTCAAAAGTTCAGAGAAACTGTTAGTGTGTCTGGAAAAAAAACCAATGCACAAAAATTTACTATTGCAATATTTAGTTAATGTTAAGATTGTTGTATTAACTTTGAAATAATCATTTATTGGCTGAGGCCATAGCTGGTTTGTTGTTCTGATTTCAGAAAATGCTTAAAAAGCTTTTATGATAATCAATAACCAAATCAAATAAAAACACTGACATCTAATATTTCTTTTTGATACAATATGGTAGTGTAAGAACTTCTGATTGTTTTTTTATTAATTTTTGAAAAAGTTGGAAGGAATTTGGACTCCCTAGTAGCAGAGAACTTTGTGATAGTTTGAAAACAGACCTGAAATATCAATAAAAAAAAGAACTTACAAACAAGGCTGCTGATGATTAAGTTCAAAGAGGTGTTATAGGAAGGAGGAGAGAAGATTGTGGGGAATAAAAGAGGGGGTAAAAATAAAATCTGGATGAATGACAATATTTGGAAAAAGATGGACAAAAGAAGACAACTGTCAAGGGGAGGGACAGAAATGTAGGGAAGTAGATGAGAAAATCAGTATTTATGTAGATAGTTAAAAGATGAGTATTTGAACAAGAAATGTATCAGAAATTTAGAAATATGAGGCAACACATAACATATGTGAAATGTACAGAAGAATAAAACCGTTGAATAGGAAACCTATGCTGTCTTCTAGTGGAGTCATCACAAACAAAAATGACAATATACTTTTGAAACTGAAGATGTTAAAGAGAATTTAGCAGTGTTAGAGAAGACAACCAGCCCTCAAAATTGTAGAATCAGTAAACAACAGCCCAGCAGTTCTGGAAAAGGATGTACAGGAAGCCATTGAGAATTTAAAAATGGAAAAGTTTACAGCACAGATGATATTTCAGCCAGCCTTTCAAAGAAAATGGGTTTTATTTATTATGTGACTGCAAATTGTAGCTCAATTTATAGAGTATAAAGGATTCATTAAGGGAATGTAACATTAAGTTTATGAAAAGGATCAAAGGAACAGAAATGTTTATAAGAGGGTCAGTTTGTTTTATTGAGAAATTTTACCCATAAATACTCGTATATAAAGTCATTGTAGTCTGTTTTCCTTCATGTCTTGGAGTGAAAACATTTCAGCTGATGCTTCAGTTTTATGTAATTTATACTCATGAAGAGATATCTGACAAATATCAAAGGATTATTGGATAACACTTGTTCATGCTAGTTGCTTTTCCCTGCCATTATTTCAAGCTGAGCAGTGAATGATATCCTACTAAACCTGTGCTTTTGTTTTTAAATTTTGTGATTGGTCAGAATTGTAAGTCTTATGTCCTGTACTTGAAACTACTGAGACCATGGCCAGATGTGATATTAGTAAAAACAACCTTTGGTCCATGCTAAAATGGAACAGCTAAACCCCATTTGTTGGTAGGTGACAAGGCAAAAAAATCCCCATGTGTTTGTTGAATGCTGAACTTGTGTTAACTCTTACAAACAAGCAGACAAGATGGCCAAGAATAATGTTAAAAAAAGTGATAGGAATGGTTAGATAACTATTTGTATTAAGACTAAAGCATATTTACTCTTCTCCATTTTACAAATGCCTTCTAAACTTTTTGAGGCAATTATATAAAGGTTGAAAACTTTAATTTTTCTACTGCCTCAATACAATTAAGTACAAGTTGTGAATGAGCTGTCAAAACACCAAAATGTTTTAGATGAGGTAAAGGCACACAGTAGAGCATATGGCCTTAGTCTTAGGATTTTAGATGAAAGAGCTATAGATGTGTAAAGAAATCTTTATGTTGTATAGACTTTGGAAAAGCTCTTAACAAGGCAACCATGAGAAATTAATGTAGATTCTGTAGCAGATTGAGGTAGACCAAGCAATTACCAGAATCCTAAACAGTTTATAATGGCTTGGTGAAAGCAGCAGTTTGAACTGACAGAGAATAAAGTAGTTAGTTTGTGGTTAACAGAGGCATATGGTAAGGATGATTGCTGTCAGCACATTGTATAACTTGCGTGCAGAGTGGTTGATGAAAGACATAATTACTGACATGAAAGGGATCAGGCTGAATGTAAATAAAATCTGTAATAATAGGTACGCTAATCATATGGCACTTATAGGTGAATCTTAGGACAAAATGAGCTTTGTAAAAAGGAAAACTAGTAAGGAAATAATGGAACATCCAAAGAGAAAAATAAAGCTGCTGGATATATGTAAGTACTAAAGGTGTGGCGATAAAGCACGAGTATCGTATTGTGAAGCCATGATATGATTGTATTGATACATCGTCTGATATGATACAATATATGTATCTTCACAAAATTTCACAAGCTTTCAGTAAACATTGAAAGTCTTTTTATACAGAAAAAATCAGAATTTCTAATAAAGTATTTTTGCTAAAAAATTATAATTCAA